TTGTGCAGGTTGTCCCGTCGACGTTGTTGACGTTTGCACTCGAGTGGTGGGATTTACTTGCGTTGAGGCGACTTGACTGCTTGAAGGTCGAAGCTGCCGCTGCGTTGGTGCTGACTGCTGCCGGTTAGGGCAGTGTGTGCGGGGATGACCTGGCGTCTTGCAGAGATGACAAAACGGAGGTACGGGTTGCTGTCCTTGGTACTTGTTTTGCCGATGGTTGTTGTTGTTGTAGCGCCGTTGAGTGTGGAAAGCGAACCCAGGCACTGACGTCTTCCTCTTGTGTTTTTCTTCTTGTAGGTCCATGTCTTGCTGTTCGGCGTGAATCTCGGCGCAGAGAGCTGCTTCGGAGATTTTTCCGTGAGCTCGGAGTATGGCGCGAGTAGAGCGCCAATGAGGACCAAGACCGCCAATGACGACTGTGACGAAGGCGTCTTCTGATATCGACCCTCCGCATCGAAGGAGTTTGTCGCGCAATTCGCGACAGCAGCTGATATACGCCATCCTTTTTTTGCCTGGTTTCATTTCCACCGTTGTTAGTTGTGCCATTAACCGACTCTGATTGACGCTGTCTGTTGCCTGATACAGGTTCTTCAGGTGATTGTACGTGAGCTCGGCGGAGTTCCCGTATCCTCGGTAAGACCGAATGTTCTGCTTCTGGTTTGGTATGACGTTGCGTAGTAGGATTGTATACGCCATCATGGACTGATATGTATACTGCTGCTTGTCGTCTTGCGTCCCGTGTGTTGGGTATGGCAGGGACCCGTCAAAGAAGCCAAGAATCTGCGCGCCTTCCATCATCAGCTCGAATTCGAATGACCAGGTAAAGAAGTCATTTCCGTCGAACGGTCTTGATGTCTGCAGTTTTAAGACGTGCGCAAACTGCGACTGAACTTGAAGTGCATCTAATGTCTTCTCTTGCTCAGGTGAAGGCTGCTAGCGTGGCATGAAGCTGACGGAGCCGCGCTGAGGTTCGTACGGGGCGAAGGTAGGCTGTTGTTGCTGATTTCCTCGTGCGTAGGATGAACCGTCGAGGCTCATCGGTGTTGCGTTGTTGTTGTTGCTGTTGTTTGACTGCGCAGGTGCCCCTTGCTGGTGTTGTTCGTAGAAGGACATGAAGGAGAAGAATTTGTCCATCATGTCTTGGTCGAAGGCCGCGGCTTGATTTGCAGGAGTTTCGGTAGACCCAGCTGCCGGTCTTGTTACTGTGCCCTCCTCTGTCTGTAGGCTAGAGGCAGGAGGTGGAGTAGGAGTAGTGCCAGAAGAGCCGTTAGAGGAGCTTCTCTCCTTCTGCGTTGCCATTGCCTTGTGATGTTGTAGGTGTCTTGATTGTAGTTGAATTTGTCCTGATAGCTCTGATACCATGTTGGGCTGAGAAAATCCCTTAGGATCTTTGCAGGACTAAATTCTGAGTAGGACAATGTAATGGCGGAAGCGTTTAATGAAAGGTTTGTGAACCACCTTGCGCTGGTATGTGAGGGCAAAGTAGTTGATTGAAACAAAAGAGATACAAGCTTTTATAAGAGTACAAGGGAATATGAAGGGTTATAATTAATAACTGTTTTGCTGTTGCTGTTGCGGTTCGATACAGTGACGACTCGGGCAACTACTCAATAGCGAGTCAGTTGTTTGTCCTTGCTGTCGCGCTGTACTTGTCAGGTCAAAGGTCGCTGACCTTTGACTTTCGCGTAACCTCCAGCAGTTGTTCAACCTCCGAGGGTTGACTCGCCAATGCTTCGATATGTTTCGCTTCGCTTCTGACTTGGTGTTTCGACACGACAGAGGCGCTAAATCAATTGTTTCCAACATACATCCGAGACACCCCGGTGGGCCAGGTAAGCATCCACAACCGGATGTCCCTGTAGCGAGTCAGCTGCGACATACGTGTCGTCCTCGCTCGTGCGTTCTTTCCAGCGAAGCAGGAACTTGACCGGTCAGCCAGCGGCAGTCAGCTCCACGCGATGGTTCAGAATCTTCCAAGGCTCGAGCGTGGGTTCAGCCACGGGACGTGTGGTCGGCGCGATGGTTGGCCGAGCGACAGCTGGCGACTGCGGTTGGTCATAGTGGCGCAGCAGGCTGACGTGGAACGCGTCATGTATCTTCCTGTCGTCGGGCAGTAACGGCTTCGCGGTGACAGGTCTCACCATGTGGACAATTCGAAATGGTCCCACGTATCTGGGCCGTAATTTCGCCGGCTGCGGCAGTCGGAGGTTTTTTGTGTCCAGAAGGACGACTTGCCCAGTTCGAAAGGGTAAATCCCGTCGGTGCTTGTCTGCGTGGCGGCTGGCCGTTGTATTGGATTTACGGATAAAATGGGCTGCCTTTTTGCGGGCTGTCTGTAGTTCCGTGACAAACTGCTGCAATCGTGGTACCGGGTTGTCCAGGGTGGTTGACGAGGGTACCACGGGGTCTATCCCGTAATTCAGGTAGAAGGGCGATTGTTTAGTCGTGGCCGAAGGGGCGTTGTTGTACGCGAATTCCAGCATCGGCAGCGAGTCCTCCCACTTGCGAAGGTCCGGGCAGTAGGTGCGAATCAGCTGCTCCATAGTTTGATTTGTCCGTTCTGTCTGTCCGTTGGTCTGCGGGTGGTATGACGACGAAAACTACAGGCGGGTGCCATACTGTGCCCATGTCTCCTGCCAGAACTTCGACGTAAATTTCGGACCCCGGTCGCTGATGATCATCGAAGGTAACCCGTGTAGGCGTGCGACGGTTGAGATGAAGAGTTTTGCCGTATCTTCGGTTGTGATCGGCGTGCGGCATGGTGCGAAATGTGCCATCTTCGTCAGTCGATCGACGACAACCATAACCGAGTCGTTGCCACTCACGCCAGCTGGGGTTGCAGCAGTCCAGCTGTTGCCACGGTCGTTCGAGTGGCTCGAGGGGTTGCAGCAGTCCAGCTGGCCTTAATCGCGACGACTTCATCGCTTTGCAGGTCGGGCACGTGGTCACGTAGCGCTGCACGTCGGTGAGCATGTCCGGCTAGTAATGATTCCGCTGCAGCAGCTTCAGTGTTTTTTCGATGCCGAAATGCTCGGAAAGGTTGGAGTCGTGTACCTCCTGCGTCAGCAACTCCCGTAAAGGCTGGTAGGCGGGCACCCAAATCCGGTTCGTACCGGCTTTTAGGTGATAATTGCTGCGTTGCGTAGTAGCCTGTTGGTGCCGGTTCTTGAAAAACCTGTCAATCTTGTATCCGTGGGTGAATAGTCCCATCAGCGTTGGATTGGTGTGGGCGATTAGTGCTAGAATCTAGCAGAAGGAATGAATGAACTATGAAAGAGTTGGGTACAAATATGAAACCCTAAAGGGGCTGTACCCCATATTGGCTACCCCACTAAAGCCTAAACATATATAGCAGATATATCATTTGACACACCCCCATAGACAAAGTGGGGGAGAGCAAGGGGTCACAAGACCAATCAAGAGAAGTAAAGCAAGCTCAGGGTGGATCACAACGTCACCACACATACTGAGCACAAGCAAAGGGCCACAAGGCCAGTTCACATGCAGAGGTATATATGCAACAACAACACCACAGTGATCTCTACCTAACAGAGCAAGCATGCAGGTATATATATAGATCACAGTACAAGCAAAGTCTACAGCAAGTGAGGAAAAGTGGGCACAAGGCCTAACAAAGTGCAGAAATGCTGATGATCACTAGACGGAAGTGCCTTGGTGAATATATCAGCAGTGTTGGCCCGAGTGGCCACGTGAGTAAGACGAAGCTGACCACGCTGCTGCAACTCTCAAGCCAGGAAGTAACGCAGAGCAATGTGCTTCGTTCTGTGCTCAAGTCTGTGCTCCTCACACAAGGCAATGGCGGCCTTGTTGTCGACGTACAGCACTGGAGGAGAACGAGGCCGCTCTCCCAGGTCGGTCAACTGGTAGGTGAGCCAGTGTAACTCCTGTGCAGCCATGGCTGTGGCGTAGATCTCAGCCTCACAACTGGAGCTGAGAACTGAACACGAGCGTGTAGAACGCCAAGAAACTTAACCAAAGCCAAGGCTGAAGGTGTAACCCTGTGACGACCGCTGCGTAGCTTGGTCGTCAACCCAAGAAGCGTCTGAGTGCCCAGTGAGGACAACATCGCTCCGTCCTCCAAGCACGAGCCCCATGCCCGATGTACTGCACAAGTAGCGTAGTACCCTCTTAGCAGCATCCATGTGCACCTTTCGGTGCCGACCAGGAGCCACGTAGCGAGCCAGAAGGCCAAGAGGGTACGCAAGGTCAGGAGAGTGCAGGTCATCAGGTACATGAGACAGCCCACTAGCTCTGGCAAGGACCACTCGGCTCTACGGACTCGTCCGAAGGTGGAGCTGAGAGCGAGTGACCTGTAGCCAGAGGAGTGGCCTGTGCCGAGGACCAGGTGAAGCCGAAGCGCTGAAGGACCTGCTGCACCATGTGTGACTGAGTCAGTGTGATGGTGCGGCGTGCTCTGTCCCGGGTGATCTGCAAGCCAAGGTAGCTGCGCAGCTCACCCAGGTCTGTGCACGTGTGTCTCTTCTGCAGCTCCGACATCACCAGGGCGAGAGCCTCAGTGTCAGCAGTGGCAAAGACCAAGTTGTCGACGTACACGAGGATGTAGAACGGTGGCAGCGAAGTATCGGTGCGTAGAAACAGCGACGGGTCAGCAATCGACGGAGTAAACCCAAGAGCCGCAAGTGTCGTCCTCAGTGTGTTGTGCCACTCACGCGGCGCCTGGCGGAGACCGTAGACCGGCCGCCGGAGGCTCCACTGGGTACCAGGAGGAAACGACCCAGTGAAGCCAGGAGGGCGGCGCAGCCAGATCTCCTCGTGCAGGCTGCCCTGTAAGAAGGCTATGCTGAAGTCAAGAGAGTGAAGCTCGTAGTCACGCTGAGCGGCAACGTGCAGCAGCACCCGAAGAGCGGTCATCTTCGGAGTGGGGGAGAAGGTCTGGAAGAAGTCAACTCCCTCTCGCTGACTGAAACCTCGAGCAAGGTAACGAGCCTTGAAGACAGGCGGAGAACCTGGCGGCCGCTTCACCCTGAAAATCCACATGCCACGGACGATGTTCGCCCCAGGAGGGGGAACCTCGTCGACGTAAGTGCTAGTGGACTTCCAGGATGCCATCTCTGCGTCCATGGCTGTCTGCCACTGAGAGGAGTCCTCACCCGCGATCGCCTCAGCGTAAGAGCGCGGGGTCGGGATGTCTGGAGCATCCGGGTCTCCCTCAGGGGCAAGCAGCATGGACACGAGATGAGGCGCAGCGGCTGCAAGACACTCAAGGTCCTCATGCCTATCCTCAAGGACGTCCGTGCCAAGAGCACACTCACCCCCGACGGACGGAGGACAGACAGACTCAGTCTCAGCAACAAGACTAGCGGCGTAGTCTAGACGACAGGCACTAGCAAAGTCAACAAGCTCAGCGACTAAGGCAGACGCAGCAGCAGACTCAAACGACGGGTCAGTGACAACAGTGGCTAGCAGACGCGTGACAGTAGGGTGAGCAGCACGGGCGCGGCCAGACCCAGGCTCAGGAACGGTAGGCAGAGAAGACGCAGGAGGAGACGGCAGAGGAACACGCTGTGGAGGAGAGGAAGGACGACGGACTACGAGGTGAGTGCCGGGGACAGCCGGCTGACGGGGACGAGGAACACTACGACCGGAACGACCAGAAAGGACAGGCGAGACAGTATGCGACGCAGGCTCACGACGCTCAGTAAGACCCCCTGTCTGCTCAGTGTAAGGAGAAGGAGCAGGCAGCGGTGAGCCGGGCTGTAACGGAAGACTAGTAGACGAAGGGAGACTAAGAACCTGGCGAAGCACAGAGTCCGGCGGTGGCTGAGACGACGGAGACGGTGGAGCAAAGAACAGGCGGGGCTGTGCAGTGCCACCAGCACCAGCAGCTCCAGTACCCCCAGCAGCTCCAGCACCTCTAGCAGCTCCAGAACCCTCAGCGCCAGCTCCTCTAGGACCAGCTCCACCAGCAGCAGCACCCCCAGAACCGGCACCTCCAGTCCCAGGGTCTCCAGCCCCAGTGTCTCCAGCAGCAGCACCCCCAGACCCAGGGTCTCCATTAGTAGCACCCTCAGGCTCAGCACCTCCAGCCCCAGCGGCCCCAGTACCTCCAGTACGAGCACCTCCGGGACCAGCACCACTCCCAGCTCCAGTGACGTCAGCAGAAGAACCTCCAGAGGCAGAGCCCCGAGCTCCAGAAGCGCGACCCTGACGGCGACCGTACCAGTCGTGCAGCTGCTGTGAGGTGAGAGGCACACGCAGATGAAGGCGGCTACTCCAGCGAGACCGCGCAACAGCAGACTCAGAACCCTCAGCGCCAGCACCTCCAACAGCTCTAGAACCTCCAGCGCCAGCACCCGCAGCAGCTCCAGAACCTCCAGCTCAAGCGCCACTAGCGCCAGCACCTCCAACAGCTCCAGAACCACCAGCGCCAGCACCCACAGCAGCTCCAGAACCTCCAGCAAAAACAACTCCAGTAGCAGAGTCACCAGCACCAGCACCTCCCGTAGCATGGCCCCTAGCTCCAGCAGCTCGACCCTGACAGCTAACGTACCACTCACGCAGCTGCAGCGGGGAGAGAGGGGACGACGACGAGAGTGCAGTGGCAAGGCACCAGTGGAGCGACTACGGAGACAGCTGCTCCAGGGAGACTGCTCACCAAACGCCTCAGCGCCCCTTGGTGCAGCACCCCCAGACTCCGCACCCCCAGGCTCAGCACCCCCAGGCTCCGCACCCTCAGGCTCAGCACCGCTAGGCTCCGCACCCCCAGGCTCAGCACCCCCAGAAGCAGCACCCCAGGCTCAGCACCCCCAGGCTTCGCACCCCCAGGCTCAGCACCCCCAGAAGCAGCACCCCGAGCAGGACCACCCTCAGCAGGACCTGAGTCACTAGTGACCTCAACCGGCGCAGTCAAGGGAGGAGGGTCTACCTGAGACACACCTGAAGGAGCAGGACCGGGAGCGGGGAGGGGGTCTACATGGGTAGCACGTGGAGCGAGGAAGAGCGGCGGGGGGGGGGGGGGGAGAGGGGCAGTGCAGTTGGGGAAGAGACGGTAAAAGGGAACCGACTCGTCGAACGTGACGTCCTGAGAGGGGAAGACACGGCGCGAGGTGGGGTGGTAAAACTGCCAACCAGGCACGTCAGGGGCAAAGCCAAGGAAGACAAAGGGAACAGTGCGAGCGGAGAGCTTGTCCGCGGTGGTATCGCGGACAAAGGCACGAGAACCCCAGACCCGGAACACCGACGCATCGCCAACCTCCCCCGTCCACCGCAGTGTGGGCGAGGTCTCCGGCAAGGAGACACGGGGCCAGAGGTTGAGCTGATGCGCGGCGTAGTGGACCGCAAACGGCCACAGAGAGTGGGGGGCAGCCGCATGGACCATGGAGGTACGAGCGACCTCCATGACAAAGCCAATGCGGCGCTCAGCAACCCCATTCTGCTGTGGAGAGGCCGGAAGCGTGAACGTCTGGAGAATGCCCTCCCCACGACAAAAGCTCTGCAGAAGGTCGGAGGAAAACTCCCCACCTCTGTCAGAGTGCAGACGCAGGACGGGAAACTCCATCCCGAACCGCTCGTGGAGCTGGAGACGGGCAGCGCGGATCCAAGGGATCAAAACATCAGGGACCTCACCCTTGGTGCGCAAGGGGAAGACCGTGATGTAACGCGAGTAGTCGTCAACAACCAGTAGGAAGTACCGCTCGCGGTCCTGCCCACTGATGCGGGCTGGGCCCCACACGTCCATGTGCAAGGTCTGCAGGGGAGCAGTCGTCGGGGGAAACGAGGAGGAGTGAGGAGCGGCGCGCTGCCGCCCCTCGACACAGGGAAGACAAGGAGGAGCAGGCGAGGGTGGGAGGGGAGGGAGATTCCTGGGAAGACCAGAGACAAGGACACGGCGGTGCATGCTACGAAGGCGCTGCACCGACGGGTGACCAAGACGGTGGTGCCAAAGGAGGGTCTAGTGCGACAAAGCGCGACACGAGCAGGGGGCCGCTAGCTGACCTGGCGCAGACGCAGCGACCTGAGGGGACACAGTAGTCAGTGTGTACAGACTCGAGACAGGCGCACGGGTAAACATGGCCAGGTGCCGGCCCGTCCGGGAGCACGTACAGTGGGTCACGCGGTGACCTCCAGGAGTGAACTGGTCAACCCACTGGTCCTGGAGGTCAGCACCACTCACCAAGTTCGTAGAGAACGAGGGGAGGTGAAGACCTGACAGGGAGCCAGACGGGACCGCCGAGCACGGCACGACCGTGGAGGAGTGCGCAAGGACTGGACCCCCAGAGGGGTCTGCCAGGGAGACTGCAACCGGCTGACTGAGCGGCGTGAGGGTGGTGCTGTCGTGAAAGAAGGAGCGGGAAGCACCTGAGTCAAGTGTGAAGGTGTACAAGGCCTCAGCAGGCGCAGTACCAGAGAGAGCAGACTCACCAGCACCTGGAGCAGGAGACGCACTAGCACCTAGAGCAGCAGCCTCACCAGCACCTAGAGCAGCAGGCTCTATACCTGGGTCAGGCGGTACGCACAAGTAATTGGCACGGTCAGCACTAGCAGGCAATGCATACATGGCAGTGAGAAGAGCATCATAGTCAAGAGCAAATCTACCCTCTGCTCAAGTAGCTCAAGCAGCGGGACTGTGTGTGACCAAGCGTCCCGCAAGCTTGACCAGCCCGATCACCTGTGCGAATGACGTACGGACAGCGAACGGTACTCCGAGACCCTCTACTCTGAGCGTACCACTCACGAAGCTGCCGGGGCGTAAGTGTCTCGCGCGGACGCCGCTGTAGCTGCAGCTGGCCACTGCCAGACGCTCCCGACTGACCAGCTCCAGGGCGACAGCCACGACCGCTACCGCCACAACCCCAACTAGCGTACCACTCACGAAGCTGCTGGGGCGTGAGAGACTCACGCGGACGTCGCTGGAGCTGCATCTGGCCACCGCCAGTAGTAGCAGTAGCAGCAGTAGCAGTAGCAGCAGCCTAGCAGTAGTAATAGACGTAGCAGCAGTAGCAGCGCGGGCAGGGCAGGCGAGGCAGGCAGGCAGGCAAATGGCGCGGCAGCGCGTGAACAAGGCAGGTGCTCACCAGTGGCGAGAATGGCCGGCGCTTGGCGGGCGGCGACGGCGGGGCCGCAACAGCGGCTGCAGAGTAGGGCCGCGTCAGCTGCAGGGCGGGGCCATGTCAGCTGCAGGTCGGGGCCGCGTCAGCTGCAGGTCGGGGCCGCGTCACCTGCAGGGCGGGTCCGAGTCAGCTGCAAGTCGGGGCCACGTCAGCTGCAGGGCGGGGCCGCGTCAGCTGCAGGTCGGGGCCGCGTCAGCTGCAGGTCGGGGCCGCGTCAGTTGCAGGGCGGGGCCGCGTCAGCGGCAGGTCGGGGCCGCGTCAACGGCAGGGCGGGGCCGCGACAGCGTCCTGGCGGGGCCGCGTCAGCGGCAGGGCGGGGCCGCGTCAGCGGTAGGGCGGGGCCGCGACAACGACCTGGCGGGGCCGCGTCGGCGGTAGGGTGGGGCCGCGACAGCGCCAGGGCGGCGCCGCGTCAGCGACAGGGCGGGGCCGCGACCTGGCGGGGCCGCGTCGGCGGCAGGGTGGGGCCGCAACAGCGGCAGGGCGGTGCCGCGTCAGCGGCAAGGCGGGGCCGCGTCAGCGACAGTGTGGGGCTGCGACCTGGCGGGGCCGTGTCGACGGCAAGGCGGGGCCGCGACTGCGACCTAGCGGGGCCGTGTCAGCGGCAGGCCGGGGCCGCGTCAGCAACCTGGCAGGGCGGCGCTCTGGCCTGACGGGTCTGCAGGGGCGGCTCGCGGGCCAGACGGGCTTGCAGGGGCGGCTCGCGGGCCTGACAGGTCTGCAGGGGCGGCGCGTGGGCCTGACGAGCCTGCAGGGGCGGCGCGCGGGCCTAACGGGCCTGCAGGGGCGGCGCGCTGGCATAGGGCAGCAGTAGGCAGCGCGAGGGCTGCAGGACGGCCCGCGCAGCGCAGCACGTCACAAGGCAAGGCAGGGGAAGGCAGGCGCAGGACAACACGTGGGGTAGCGCGGTAACCGCAACGGTAGGTGGGCCCGAAAAAAAAGATGGTCCTACGGACCTAGTGCTCTGATACCATGTTAGAATCTAGCAGCAGGAATGAACGAACTATGAAAGAGTTGGGTACAAATATGAAACCCTAAAAGGGGCTGTACCCCATATTGGCTACCCCACTACAGCCTAAACATATATAGCAGATATATCATTTGACAATTAGTACCGACGCGGTCTGCATGGATGGTCGGGTGAGGGCGTCAGCAATGTTGTTGGTGCCTTTCTTGTACGTGATGGTGTACCGAAAATTGGACTCGAGGTAGTCCAACCACCAGATTTTTCGCTGGTTGAGTGTCGGTTGCGTGCGCATGTACTGTAGCGATTTGTGGTCGGTTCGGATCGTCACGTCGGCTCCCGTGAGGTAGCAGCGCCAGGTACGAAATGCGTGGACGATGGCCAGCATTTCTTTGTCGTGGACCGGGTAGTTGCGCTCGGGTGGCTGCAGCTTGCGTGATTCGTAGGCGATGTGTTGCAGCCCTTTGCCGAATTCCTGTAGCAGGACGTCGCCGACAGCGAAATCGCTGGCGTCCGTGATGACTTCGAGCGGTCGAGATGGGTCAGCGAGGCGGAGTACCGGGGGTGAACTCAAAACGTTTTTGAGTGCGTCGAAGGCGGAATGCTCTCTCTCCCCCCACCAAAAATGTGTGTCCTTGTGCAGCAGGTCGGTCAGCGGCTTGGTTATCCCTGCCATATTAGGTACAAAACGGCGAACGTGGTTAACAAACCCCAAAAAACTCTGCAATTCAGGGATATTAGTCGGCGGCTTCCACTTAACGATGGCGTCCACTTTACGAGGGTCGATTTTAATACCTTCACCGGAAACCACGTGGCCCAAAAACCCCAACTCCGGCTTCAAGAACTCACACTTAGACCCTTTCGTAATGAGCCGATTTTCCTGTAGACGCCGGAACACCTCCTCCAAATTGCGTAAATGCTCCTCTTTTGTTTTGCTGTACACCATGATGTCGTCGAGATACACGATGACCTTTTTGTCCAGCATGTCCCGGAAGATCCCGTTCATCGTCAGCTGGAACGTCGAGGGCGCATTGGTCAGTCCGAACGGCATAACTGTATATTTGTAACTGCCGTAGCGTGTGCGAAAAGCTTTCTTCGAGCAGTCGTCGGCGAACACGCGAATCTGGTGGTAGCCTCCTCGCAAGTCAATTTTCGAA